CGCGGCGGAAGGAAGGGAGATCAGGGATCACCCTGATCTCTGGGGGCAGCTCATTCCAGAGGGTGGGAGCTCCCACAGAGAAGGCCCTCCCCCTTGGGGTCGCCAGCCGGCACTGTCTGGCCGACGGCACCCTGAGGAGACCCACCCTGTGGGAGCGTACTGGCCGATGGGAGGTAATCTGTGGCAGAAGGCGGTCTCACTTAGAGACTGAGTGCCCCAAAACCGCCCCCCTCTGCTCCCCTGCCCACAGGGCCACCCACCGCCTCCATGCTTGTTTAATTTAAGATTATGCCAGCTATGTTGGATTTAGGCTGCTGTAGATTTTATGACCATCATTTGACACCGGGTAACATAGGAATCAATAACACTATAAGATAGTGCTTCTCAATTTTTTCCTTTATTACTCAAAGCCACTTAACAGAAAACCCTTATTTATACATCCCTGCTGTGATTGGATTATGGGTTTGTGTGTTGTTACCCAAAGAAAAATCACTTTTACCAAAATTTGGTTACAGGATCCAATCTGGGTCGGTCACTGTTTTTTTCTTCCGAGTTTTTGGACTTGTGCTGGAGCCCCCATCATCTGGGAACTAATCTCTAGCCAATTTTGTTTAATTTACCCAAATTTGGGAAGCACCATTGTAGAAGAATGCATTGTGCTTAAATTGTTCTTCTTAGTAAATTGTTTTTCCCTAATGAATTTTTTCCAGGAACGGTCACAGCTGCCAATGCTAGTACGCTAAACGATGGAGCAGCTGCTTTGGTACTGATGACTTCAGAAGCAGCCAAAAGACTGAATGTGAAGCCATTGGCAAGAATAGTAGGTGAGGATTGTCCTTCCCTTTGGTGAAATTGTCGTGTGTATATATTTCCCTGAGTAAGACTGGTGGTGGATGACAGACTTCTTCTCATTTTGTTTTCTCTGTAGATTAGGTAGGACCCATTTTTGATCAAGCAGTTTCAACAAACTGAAATTTTGCCAAAAGCCAAAGTTTTTTTTTAAAAAAGAGGCTTTGGAACCTTTCAGTGCACTTTTCTCACTGGACTTTTTAAAGTATGTTTTAAGGCAGAGATCTCCAACCTTTCCAGGCTTGCGACCCAGAGGGGAGAGCAGCTTCCAAATTACTGCGTGTGGTGTGCACGCACCCAAACGGGGCCACGCCCACTGGTGCAGTACTAGCAGCCATGCTTGCACATGTGCTGGCGCCATGCGCAAACAGCCATGCACCCCCGCGGTGGCTAGTACCCATTCACGCATGTGCAAATGGGCGGCGCACACTCCCCACTAGCGTTCCTGTTCGAGCCCGCACGCATGAGCAAACGGCCGTGGGCGCTAGCACGAGTGGGGGGGAATGTGCGCCCACATGTGTGCCCTGGCCAGCCATTTCTGCAGCCCACTGGCCAAGAGAGCTGCGGCCCATAGGTTGGGGACCTGTTTTAAGGAATGAACTCTGAAATTATGCTCTTGATAGAGGAATCGTTGCAAGAATAAAATTCAATATTAAGAGCAATCAAAGCACATTTAACAAAATATTTCTTTTCTAATTCATGTTTCTGTTCTTGCAGGTTTTGCAGATGCTGCTGTTGATCCTATTGATTTTCCCATTGCACCAGCACATGCTGTTCCTAAGGTGACCATCTCTATCATTGTTCTACCTTCATTTAGTTGCTCATTTAATTCTGCATTTAGTCTTCAGTGGAAATGTAATATAATGGACTTTAAAATTAATTTCTCAAGTAGATTATCTGCTTAAGTTTAAAAACAAATCTAAAAAATTAAGTACTTTGTGTTGGTGGTTTGGAATTGAGTGAGCCATTGCATTTTAGTTCTGGTTAGTTTTGGAGAAATTAATGGCAGATTGTATTTGAACAACTGGAATAATAAATAATAATAAAATAATAAAGTTGCCATTGTTAAGTCAACCCTACACTGTTGTTATGCAAGATATCTTGTGGTCACCATTTTTAACCTGCTGGCTTCCCCATTGACTTTGCTTGTTGGAAGTCAGCAGTGAAAGTCACAAATGGAGAGATCATGGGGACTGTGGGATGCTGCCAAGTTGTAATGGCAAGCTGGTCACTGGCCCCTTGATTGTGATCAGATGACCACTGGGACACTTTGAGGACTGGTCATAAATGCCACTTGTTCAGTGCCATTGTAAGTTTGAATAGTTGTTGAATGAGCAGTTTTTAAGTGAGGGCCACCTGAATTCCCTTACTGTAATTGAACCATATCCTCATAGATTTCGGCTTTACAATTTTGCAAGGGTGAGGATCTCTTCCGACTGCCTAGTTTTAAAAAGTAATGGATTTCAGCTTAGATAGATGGTGTAGAATAGTTCTATACCTCAGAGCTATGTTTATGTGGTTTTCAGCATTTTTTTAAAAAAATGATTCTATTTTTCCCCTTGTAATTATGTTTCAGAATCTGTGTTTTTAGCTTCGAGGTTGTGAGTTTTTGTTTCATCTTTTCTGCTTTTTACTTCTGTGTGGGTGTGTCCTGATCTGCTCATAAAATTCTGGTAGTACAACAAATAATATAAATGTTATCTGTACATACATGCCAGTGGTATTTTTCCTTTCAGGTACTTGCTCAGGCAGGACTCAAAAAGGAAGATATTAATATGTGGGAAATCAATGAAGCATTCAGTGTTGTTGTCTTAGCTAACATTAAAATGCTAGACATTGATCCACAGAAGGTAAATATTCACGGAGGAGCAGTTTCTTTGGGACATCCAATTGGGTAAGTAAAAAAAATACATTAACTGGTGGTGGGAAATAACCGATCCCTGTATAAGTAGACCTTAACATACGACTGTAATTGACCCCAGTCATAAGTCACGCTAGTTGTTAAGTGGTTAACCACGTGAATGCATCTAATTTTACAACCTTTTTTGTGGTGGTTTTTTAGCCAATGGGTGCTTTTTGGAAAAAAAAAAAACTGGAGGTAAATGCCATTTCCAGCAAAAAAACTTCATAAATTGTGGTCAAGTGCCCAAAATATAATCACATGATTTATTTCACATTTTTGAACCGCCCATCTCCCTGAAGTCCCCTGCCTCTCTCAAAAGCCCCCTGACTCTTTAATATAAGAGACCCCCCACTGGGTTTGTATTGGGAGCCTTGCAATGTATTTGTGTAAGTGACAATTAGCATGTCTTATACTGAATTTATCTCTGAGCAACATTTGAAGTACAACTCGTATTACGTACTTGTTCTTAGCATATTGTAAAATGTTACACAAAAAAATATTCACAAACTATTACTCAGATTTAAACATCTTTTAGAGATTAGGCAACCTGGTGCCTCCAAATGTTTCTACCACGAAATCGCATTTGCCCCCATCAGTAGTGACAACTAACTAGTAATTATGGGAGATGTGGTCCCGAAAGATTGGACAGTAGCAGGTTGCATATATCTTAAAATATTTCAAGGTCT